ACATGTCAAATCAGTTTAAAATGAATGTGGGGCTTTTTAAATAGCTGATTCTCAAGTAGAAGGTGGTATTGGCTGTGTAAACTTGTTACTATTTCCTGTTTCCTTAAGAACAGAGAGATTTATTTTGACATCTATGGGTGAATATCAGGATTCCAAGTGGAAATGATCCCTTGTTTTTTTCTATGAATTGTCCTGTCACTGGAGGTTTACTGGAATCAAAGACAAATGTGCTTCTCTGGACTGTTGAAAATCAGAGTGCTCAAAATCACATAACTTGATGTTTACTGTCAAGGGAAAATATGGTTGGTATAGTTATTTCATAGAGCCCTGAGATTGCCTAAGGGTCTATCATATTGTTTGCTATTAATTATGGGTTGAAATATTTTCCACAAAAGTCTAGCAAGATTAACTTTATGCCAAATGATACCACCCCTCTAGTGTGGCCGGATAGAGCCCCACTTTCTTCTTTATATGTTGTTTTCCTTTTCATTTTTTAATAATCATAGTTTACTTTTAGAATCTGGAAAAAATATTTCTATGAAGAAACTTTAAAATTCTCTTTAAAATGTGATATGAGCCTAAACTTTGCAATCCGGTGTTTGTTGGATATTTTGAAATAAGCTTTAGTGGCTTCTCTCCTCTAAGCCGAGCTATTTCGACAAGGCCTCTTTCAGTACCTGTTAGAAATAACCACTAGATTCAGAACTAAACAATGGGAGTTTGTTCATTCAATCTGGTCATTATTGACTAATTTGCATTTAGAATGCCATCTCCAACCATTAATTAGTCATTCCTCAAAACAACCCAATGGGAGAGAGGAACATAATTATCGCTGTTTAGAAATGAAACCAACCAACAGTGCATACAGTGCTCCACAGAGGCAGATCCCCTAGCTATGCAGTCATGGCTGCTGGGAATATGCCAGCTGTCAGGGCCACCACACATCCAATAGGAGATGCAAGAGTTAGAATTTTACAAAAATACCTCCAATGTTCCTATTTCATAAGCATTTGGGTTTAGATTTGCTGAGATTCAGTAACATTGATTTGTCTTGCAAACCTTTATAAATATAACATCAGATTTATCAGACCACTTTTTATGGCAACACAACATAAGATGTGCAACATTGTATATATGCTTTTAAATGTTCACAAATTCCCTCAAGTCACCAACAGAATTATAATAGTGAAGTTAAGGGATAATCAAACAGCAAATACATACTAAATATTCATTATTCACAGGGCTTCATACTGGAACTATGAACAGGGATGGGAGCAAGAAATTAAAAAGATACCTGCAACCCTGGCTTTGCTCTAATCTAAGGTACCTAGAATTTGATAAAGAATCCAGCCAAATGCATATAAAATGTAATGTTTTAGAAAAATTTAATTATATGTAACCTTAATTTTACAATAAGCATTTTTTTTCTCTATATCTTTCTCCACAAAAATACATTTTCTTTAAGTTAGGATGCAAGGGTGCACAAGTTACTTTAGAAGGTTGGAAAAGTCCCAGGAATTGGCCCTGAAATTATTTATTTTATTACTTAAAGAATGCTGGTGAATTCTCTCTTTCAAGAAAGAAAATATGGGGCTGGGCACAATGACTCACGCCTGTAATCCCAGCACTTTGGGAGGTCAAGGAGGGCGGATCACGAGCTCAGGAGTTCAAGACCAGCCTGACCAATATGGTGAAACCCCCTCCGTACCGAAAATACAAAAATTAGCTGGGTGTAGTGGCACATGCCTGTAGTCCCAGCTACTCAGGAGGCTAAGGCAAGAGAATCACATGAACCCGGGAGGCGGAGGTTGCAATGAGCCAAGATTGCACCACTGCACTCCAGCCTGAGCGACAGAGTGAGACTCTGTCAAAAAAAAAAAAAAAGAAGGAAGGAAGGAAGGAAGGAAGGAAGGAAGGAAGGAAGGAAGGAAATAAATATGGGCAGGGTGTGGTGGCTCATGCCTGTTATCCCAGCACTTTGGGAGGCCGAGGCACACATGTCACCTGAGACCGGGGGTTCGAGACCAGCCTGACCAACATGGAGAAACCCTGTCTCTACTAAAAATACAAAATTAGCTGGTCATGGTGGCGCATGCCTGTAATTCCAGCTATTCAGGAGGCTGAGGCAGGAGAATCGCTTGAACCCGGGAGGCGGAGGTTGCAGTGCACCGTGATCAGCACCATTGTACTCCAGTCTGGGCAACAAGAGCAAAGCTCTGTCTCAAAAAAAAAAAAAAGAAAAAATTTCCTAGCTGATCATGGAAGGATAACAAATGTGATGAATCTGGCCAGGTGCGTTGGCTCACGCCTGTAATCCCAGCACTTTGGGATGCTGAGGCAGGTGATCACTTGAGGTCAGGAGTTCGAGACCAGCCTGTCCAACATGGTAAAGCCCCATCTCAACAAAAATATAAAAACTTAGCCAGGTGTGATGGTGTGCACCTGTAATCCCAGCTACTCGGGAAGCTGAGGCAGGAAAATCTCTTGAACCCGGGAGGCGAGGTTGCAGTGAGCCAAGATCATGCCACTGCACTCCAGCCTGGGAGACAGAGCGAGACTCTATCTCAAAAAAAAAAAAAAAAAAAAAAAAATGTGATGAATCCATGTGTTATTATTTCCCACTACACTAAGCCATCAATATATCATGATTCTCTATGTGCTCTTCTAACACACGAACACATACCACACACACTAACACATAATTGTTGCTTTTAATTGAAGAACATTTTCAATACCTCTCAAATGGGCAAAAATCCTGTTTATATTCTTGTCTGCTCCAGTTTTGGCTTCATAAGAATTTTTTCATTTGTTTTTTGAGGCAGAGTCTCTCTCTCTGCCCAGGCTGGAGTATAGTGGTGTGATATCAGATCGCTGCAGCCTCCACTTCCTGGGTTCCAGTGATTCTCCATCCTTAACCTCCCGAGTAGGTGGGATTACAGGAGCCCACCACCAGGCCCAGCTAATTTTTGTATTTTTAGTAGCGACGGGGTTTCACCATATTGGCCAGGCTGGTCTCGAACTCCTGATCTCAGGTGATTTGCCTGCCTCGGCCTCCCAAAGTGCTAGGATTACAGGTGTGAGCCTCCGCATCCCAGCCCAGCTTTAAGAATTTAATCTTCATTTCAAGCACAAAAAGACTGTCTTTTTTTTGGGGGGGGGGGGCTGTTGGGGCCTCTTTTTTGAACTCTTTAGGGCCAAATGAACCTTTCTTCCTTGATCCCAGGGTGGAGTCAAAATGAATCTAACAGACAAACAGCCCAACATCCTTCATGTCACTGCCGACTTCTCATTCAAAGGGGTACTTGGGGCGGCAGGTGGAGTTATAATTATAGCTTAGAAAAAAGCAGCATCAGCAGCTGTCGCTTCTGTTTGTTCCCAGCTATAACTGTCATCAGTGGGTAAATTGGCATAAACAGGCCTCCACAAGTGGAAAAACATTTAACCCCTGTACTTGTCACACTCTGGGTCCTCTCAGTGGCCAGAGAACAGAAAGAAAATCTGACTGTGCTGGAGCGAAGGGTGACACCGGGCGTGCAGCACCGACCTGAAGGCGCCTCTTCAGGGGGAGCCCCAAATTTGAAGATTCTCTTTCCTGTCGGAGACTCCAAACCAAATAAATAGGTTAGTGCCCAGAGTAAACCTATGCATTTTAATTCTGACCTCTACTTGCTGTGATTTTCATTTTCCTGGCAGAGCTTGAAAAGAGTGAACTACTAAATGAAAGAAAGGAAAGTTATTTAAGGACTGTTATTTAAAATTACTGGGAATCCATGAGAACACATTATGAAATGGGCTTAATTTATTATGCTCCTCTCCCAATTTTGGCCGTATTCGCGCTAGACAAATAGACAAGGTAAAGATGGAAAAATAAAACCGGTTTTGTGGCATGAGTCCCATCCTTTTGTAATGCCACTTACTTATGCCAAAAGGCCCTGCCTTCTTTATTAAAATCCGTAATGTTGAAAGCTAAGTTTGTGATTTTAGAAAATGCTGTAAATGTAGCTCCGGAGTTTCATTTCCTTAGGGAAAATAGGCAAATCAGAGTTGAATTGTTTTTCCAACAATGAGTAAAGATAGAAAATTTTCTTGTTTATGATAAAATGTGTGGTGTAGGTTACTTTACAAAAGAAATCTGCTACAGAATTTATTTTTTGTGTCTAGTACAATTCTACCTAAAAGCTTCATGATTTCAGTCTAAGTAGATCCTTTTGAGAAAAGATTTTAAATAATTTTATTTGCATAATAATTTTATTTGCATATATTCTATCTTAGCCAGAAATTGAGCAGGATTTAGCTTTGCGCTGTCTGTTTCAAAACCTGAATATTTAATGTATTGGTGAAAAGTGGTGGAATTCCAAAGAACTCACTGAAAACAAGGCTTTGGGGCCCAGTGCTCATCCTAACCACATTCATGAAATGGACTCAAGTAGAAAGAGTGATAAATAATAACCTCATTTTGTTCAGTTCAAAAGAGAATGTGAACCATCCCTAAGTGTTTATGTACAACCTTTCATGAGGAAAGTGCACCATTGTTATTTATCATTATGACCCAACTTTTTGGCTACCTTTTGAAATGCAATGAGTGCTAACGATGTACTTGGACCTCCACTAGAGAGACATCTACGTGCAACCAAACCCACCAAAAGTGCCCCGTCAATTAAATTCCCATGAGGGCCTTGTCTGTCTCATTTTTTCATTCAAATATATATTGACCAATGGCTATATAATCTAAAAATAATATTTAACAGTTAAGGCAAGTTTAGGATGTCTAATATTACTCTTCCCAGAGACTCCTTTCCTCCTGCTTTCTGCTAAACTGAGATAATGGTTATCTGAAAGTTCCAAATTATAGAAGCTAAGAAAGACAAAAAAGAGATATGGCTGACTAGTTGTTGGCTTGAATTTCCTTGATACGCAGACATACAGATTTATGCCCTATTTTAAACATTGCTTTTTACTTGTGTTTTGTCTTCTTGCTCTTCTAGAAAAAACTATCCAAGATGACTGTCACTTACTCCAGTAAAGTAGCAAATGCAACTTTTTTTGGATTTCATAGGTTACTCTTCAAGTGGAGAGGCAGCATCTACAAACTACTGTACAGGGAATTTATTGTTTTTGCTGTTCTTTATACAGCAATAAGTTTGGTGTACAGGTACTTTTCTTTGCATGTCTCTTTAAATGGCCATCAGATATTGTATAAGAATACAGTCTCAAAAATCTGAACCTTTTGATTGCCACTGACTGCGTTATGTAACTCCTTTTTTGCATGAGCCTCTCTTTTGTCTTCTTCCCCTCAGGACACATTTTAATCCACCACTAACCATTGTTAGGATGTAAAATAGACCCTCACTGTAAGATTCAAGTGGCCTTCATTCCAGCCCCAGTTGTGCCTCAAGACTGTTGCAATAGGCATAAAATGGAAGGATTACCCTTAGATCCTTACTATGTGAAGATTTTTGAATGGGCAAAGTCCACAGACAATAATTATTTTGTGCTTCTGTCCACTTGTCATTCATAGTTGATGATTTGACAGCTTGTAGCAACTACCTACATAATCAACATGTTCATGATTGGTGTATGTCAGGCAAAAGCTTTCCTTCTTTTTGCGTGGAATGAAAATATCTTATCCAGGATGATGCCTGCCACACTTAACAGTACCTCAACTAAAGCAAAGGCCTGTAGACTAATTTATTTTCTTTCTATTTTCTGAGTTGAGGGCATGTTATGTTCACAAAAGGAGGTGCTTATTCTTTATAACATTACAATATATGCCTGTCAGATTGACAGGAAATTTGAGCAATATCAAGTCCAAGAAATACTTTTATGATGAAAAATTATAGACTTAATAAAATTTCATCAGTATGATAAAAGGGAAAACTTATGAGATTTTAAAGCTTTTTTAATTAACATCAAATGCATAAATTTCTTCTCTGGAAGAAGCTAAAACTTAAAACAGGAAAGCTAAAGGTTTTTGAGGCTGTATTTCCATTTTTTCTATGTACATAGTTTGTTATTTTTCTTCTGCATACAGATAAACAAATTTGTGTTTCATTGCTCTCACATTCTTCCTTGTAGCAACAGAATCTCCTTTGGAAAAGAGGGATATTAATTTAGTTGGCTGATAATTATTAAAAGTAAAATAGATAGGGCTATTTTTCCATATGTCAAAACAACCCTTCCAAGCAAGTGTATGCATTGGTATATATTTTGACAAAATATTTTTAGAGGGAAAGTCTTATTAACAACCTCTAATAATTTTTCAGACATGTCATATTATATATTATTTTGGCAATTTAGGTGTGTATCACCTAAGCCTTCAGAATATGAAATGGTAGAAGATACAATGGTGTTTCGTGATAATTATCTCATTAGTTCATTTTTTACTAATGTGAATTTATTGCTGCTACTGCTGCTAAGAATAGAACAGAATAGCCCTTAGCACAGTTGCAGTGTAGCTAGAAATGTTCCTTGGGGCCTCAACTTTTGTTCCAATATCATACTTATACCCCATAAAATTTTATGCATATATTTCTTCTAAAGCAGAGTGCTTACATTTATAACAAAAATGATCAATTCAAGTCATCCTTAAATTTTTTAAGTTTAATTGTAATACCTTATTAAAATAGATCCTTCTGTCTTAATCAAAGGTATACCAAGGACTGTAGGATGAGTTTGTCAAGAAAGTCAAACATATCTGTAGAAAAAAATAGATGTAGTTTCATTCTCTGAGTCTTTATTAGCTCTATTATAAGGAAATAATTATTCCTAACAAAAGTTATAAGGAGGAACCAGATTCATTAATTTGATTACATTTCTTTCTATTTTTGGAGGAATTTGACAAAATTTCTGAAATACTTTCTAGCTATTAAAATTTCTACATCTATTAGCCAAATATTTTTTCTTTGGCCAACTACTAATATCAACCATTTCATTATTAACTAAGTATGAGGCAATTTGTTAAATGGTTATGTATATGTGTATATATATATTATTTAATCTTTACAATACCCCATATATGGATATTTTTATCCCCACTTACAGATGAGAAAACTGAGACTCAGAGAGATTTAAAAATATGCTCAAAGTCCAAATTCATAAGTGTCAGACTTGGGATTAAAATCTGGCTTTGTCTGACCTTAAAAAAGGTCTATGCTTTCCACATTTAAATCCTCTTTGAACATGCCTATTTGAACATCAGAAACCATTCTGGCTGTAATTTATCATCAGCATAACCCTGATAGACCTCTGCAACAATCTGGTACCTCTCCTGTCAGCTTTCCCTGACTTCAGTAATTCTAACACCTCTTCCAAAGCTGGGGCAGGAACTCCAAACTCACCTTGTACCCCACACACCTTCTTTGTCAGGACCAGCTTCCAACAGCTTTCTATCTGCAATCTAATTAGTTGCTTACTATTATCTTATTATCCCTTTGCTTCCTTTATCAAAGTTCTACTGATCCAAATGAGCCTTTGATGCTTGTTATAATGGATCTTTCCTTGAGTTCCTTCTTCCTTTGGAGCAGCTACATTCGTTGATTTATTCGAATTCATCTGTTTGGCTTTCCTTCCTGTATTTTGATCATTATTATTAGTTCGCCTTAAAACATTTCTTCAGACTCTGAATCTCTTCCCTATAATGTAAATATCAATAATGGTCTCATTAAGTGCACTTATATTTAACGATACCAGAAAATGAGGTTTGGGCAGGATGGGTTAGATCTATAATATAAATTTTGAGAGAGTGACTCAATTTAATAATGAAAGTTTTCATTTTTCATTGTTAAATTTGTTTCAGACTCCAAACAATTCTGGGCTTTAAAATGAACAGGTATAATAAAATCCCTTGAAGTATAACACATGATAATCAAGAATGTGCTAAGTAGCATATTCAGGGGAAAGATCAAGGTGTCAAATTCAGTGTTGTTATTTAACAATTACTTAATAATGCTAATTCATATTTAATCAATAATACACTCTTCTTAAGGTATTCCTGATGAATAATTGAAAACTGAACTATTTTGTAACACACCTTGCTCTAAATCCGATGAATCAATCATATAAAACTTTTAAAATATAAAATTTTTAGAATAAAATGATTAATTAATCCCACTATTTAATGGCCAATCATGTTTACAAAATGTTAGCACTTGAAACATTAAGCAATTAAAAAGCTTTCGAGACACATCAGCTTAAGAAAAAAGGAAAAAATTATTGCTCCTTCAAAAATAAAACAGATTATTTGTGCTTAATTGTTTGCACTTAATGTCACTTGCAAAGCAGGTGCAGAAGTATAATATCATAAAGGGCTGTGCATTTTATTTTTGCTCCAGATTGTTACTTACAGGAGCCCAAAAACGTTACTTTGAAAAATTATCAATTTACTGTGACAGATATGCTGAACAAATTCCAGTAACCTTTGTGCTTGGTAAGTATAGGTCACACGCAGATTGCAGCCACACAGCTGTCTCCGTTAGGATGACACCGATGACTCTGCATGGGAGTGTTTCCAAGCTGAGAGGCATGCCTGAAAAGCCACCGCTTGCAGTAGAACCAGAATCATCCATAAGGTTTGCCTTCATGGCTGCTTTCGCTAAATTAACACCAAACAAGTTTGAGGAAATAATCTGCTATTGGACATTTAAGCTTTCTCTTCACTAACTCTCCATTTTTGCAGTCAATATTTGAGATCTAATACCCACTTACAGGGTGCTTAGGCATTGCCAGGCACAAATGACATTTTTTTCTGGAAGGCAAAATCAGAAGATATGGATAATAACATATTTTTGTCCTCCAACCTCTAAAAAGGCTAAAATTCAGCTAAAAGCATCAGTGTCACCAACGTGTCTGCTGTAAGAAACTGCTTTATAATTTCCTGTTATTCTACAGGGTTTTATGTTACTCTGGTAGTAAACCGATGGTGGAACCAGTTTGTGAATTTGCCCTGGCCAGACAGGCTAATGTTCCTCATCTCCAGCAGTGTTCATGGAAGTGACGAGCACGGGCGCCTGCTTAGAAGGACGCTGATGCGTTACGTCAATCTCACCTCCCTGCTCATCTTTCGCTCGGTGAGCACTGCTGTGTACAAAAGGTTTCCCACAATGGACCACGTGGTTGAAGCAGGTACTACGAATGGCTTTTCCTTCCATAGGCTTTTCTCAGCCGAGACAGGACCTCCAGAATTCCTTTGAAAATTCCTTATGTTTGTTTATTCACTCAAGAAACATTTAGTGGTCGGGCACAGTGGCTCACGCCTGTAATCCCAGCACTTTGGAAGGTCGAGGTGGGTGGATCACCTGAGGTCAGGAGTTTGAGACCAACCTGGCCAACATGGCGAAACCCCATCTCTGCTAAAAATAGAAAAAAATAGCCGGCTGTGGTGGCATGTGCCTGTAATCCCAGCTACTGGGGAGGCTGAGGCACGAAAATCACTTGAACTCAGGAGGCGGAGGCAGAGGTTGCAGTGACCTGAGATTGCAGCACTGCACTCCAGCCTGGGCCACAGAGTCAGACCCTGTCTCAAAAAAAAAAAAAAAAAAAAAAGAGAGAGAGAGAGAGAAAGAAAGAAAGAAAAGGAAAGAAAAGAAAAAAGAAAAAGAAACATTTATTGATTACCTACTATGTGCCAGAAGCAAACTAAGAGACAAAGATGAATAAGACATGATTCCTGCCCTCAAGTTTACTTCAGAGGTAGGGGAGAGAAAGTGGCAGATAGTAACGTTGCCTTAAGGTAAACATAATAATTATCGTATTTATTTAAACAATCTGGCTGGGGGAGCTCTTCGGGAGGCCCAGGCGGGTGGATCACCTGAGGTCAGGAGTTCCAGATGAGCCTGGCCAACATGGTGAAACCCCGTCTCTACTAAAAATACAATAATTAGCTGGGCGTGCTGGCTCACGCCTGTAATTCCAGCTACTCAGTAGGCTGAGGCAGGAGAATCGCTTGAACCTGGGAAGTGGAGGTTGCAATGAGTCGAGATCATGCCATTGCATTCCACCCTGGGCGACAAGGTCCCCATCAGTCCCAAAAAAATAAAAAAATAAAAATAATCTGTCTTATTAACTTACAGTTTTCTAGCACTATACGGTTTTGTCTCCTTTATAGCTATTTTGTTTGGACCTCAAGAAAACATGAAAAAGGTAGAAAATAGATTCAGAAAGGTTACAACCTGCGCTGAATTACACAGCTGATCAGTGGAAAGGCCAGAATTAAAATGTAGGCTCCGAACTCCTAAGGTAATACTTTCTAATAGATTCTGGTAGGAACCGGCAATGGCAGTTTCATCTAGGCAGACACTGAGAGGTGATAGTCAAAAGCTGTTTTAGTGTGGACCTCTTGTCTCTTGTGCCTCACAGGAGATGTAAGGATGATTCTCTTTGGTGTGTAAATATTTAGCAAAGAAGCTGTGAAGTCAGCCTTCGATAGGGCGAGGATTAAATGGATAATTCTTGGCACATATGGATAAGAACCGTGAGGTGATTCTGCCTTTACATTAAGTCCAGTCTCACATTAGTTTGCAGTATTTAGTCTCCTTTTCTGAAATGTCCTGGAAAACAGATATTTTCGGATAATAGTTTTTGTTTGTTTTGGAGTTTTTGTTGGCTTTTTTTGTTGTTGTTGTTGTTTTGGCTTCTTAAATGGCTAATATAGATAGTGACTACTGAAGTCAAAATAAAACTGTAGAGATGAATGTCTACATTTCACATTTTATTTGAGAAGAAAGAACTCCAGTTTGAGGCATACACACAGACCAGATGGTGTTCAGTATGTCCAAAATACAAAGAAAAGTTTGGAGGTTTTATAAAAAGACAGAAATGTTACATATTGCTCTTTGAGAAAGTTCGTTGGCACTAGTAAGTTTCTGGGGAGCTGGCAAGTTTTGACTGGTGAGTGATGGAGGTGGGTAAAATTCATCTTCAAGTTGCAGCAGATCATTTCAGCAACTATAGAATTGGTTTCAGGTAATAGCAGGCAGTTTCAGCAACCAGGCCTGCAGAAAATTACTTTGTGTCTCGGCTGCTTTCTTTTTTTTTTTTTTTTTTTGAGACAGAGTCTTGCTCCGTGGCCAGGCTGGAGTGAAGTGGCGCGATCTTGGCTCACTGCAATCTCTGCCTCCTGGGTTCAAGCAATTCCCCTGCCTCAGCCTCCCAAGCAGCTGGGACTACAGGTGCACACCACCACACCGGGCTAAGTTTTTGTATTTTAGTAGAGATGGATTTCACCATGTTGGCAGAATGGTCTCAATCTCTTGACCTGGTGATCCACCCACCTCGGCCTCCTAAAGTGCTGGGATTACAGGTGTGATGCCCGGCCTCAACTGCTTTTTCCTGATGGCTTCTTGACTCTGTTTTATTGGGTATGACAAGAATGACCCAATTCTATTATCAACTTTCACAATGATTAAGAACACGGAGTAAGGGTTTGAAACCTTATCTCACAGCTTACTAGCTGCATGACTTTGTCTGAGGTAGTTAGCCATTCTGTTCCTCAGTTTCCTAATCCATAAAATGGACTTAAAGTAACTTATAATAGCACCTACCTCATATACCCCATAGGCTTGTTATGAGGATTTAAAAAGTTCATATTTGCAAAATGTTTAGAGCATTGCTGGCACACAGTAAGTGCTGCATGATTTCTTGCCATTGTAATGAAATTATGTACCGAACAACTGCACAACATAGCACTCTAGCCACTTTAGAAGAGGTTGTGAATGTCAAGGTGGAAATAAGGAAGAAGGGGTGTAGGTGACATTGTTAGAGATGCAGAGTGAGATGTGAGAAATAATGGGTGCCAGGAGATGGTTAAGAGGGATTCAGGGAGAGGGTCTGAAGGCCTGGCACATGTACAGGTATATGATAATATAAAATCAGTAGGAACTTTAAAAAAATTAATTGCCATCCTCCCTCCAAATATGAAAGTAGAATACTGTTTCAGAATGACCCAGTTAAAAATACTACTAGACAACTCAATTTTATCTTACCTTAATGTCTCCAGGAACAAATAGATTAAGAATTACCACCTCTAAGAAAGACCTAAAAACAAACAAGAAATGTATGACCTATTCCAAGTTGCTGAGCTAAAGTTTACTTGGATGAACAGAGGTGATATTTCTCCAGTTCTGACGCATCCTTGAAATGAAGAGAGTGCATTCTGACGGGAATCAGATGCCGGGTCCAATCCTCAAAGCAAATCTCATCTTAGTGTCACCTTCATATTAAAAGCACATCGGGAAGAAGCCAGGTTGGCTGGCAATGGAGAGGTCTCTGGGGCCTCTGGTCAGACATGAGCTCAGAGGACTGAGCTGTGCTCACGTCTGAGGGGCAAGTAGATGTAGGGAGGCAAATAGGAAAATGACGTGATTCCATTTCCTTTGAGTGTATTTTTCAGAACACCAAGGCCCACTCCCTCTCAAACTTGTACAAATGTCTGCCACGTACTTGCACTCTGACTTTTCCCTTTCCAAGGCATGTGGGATACTGAAATACTTCTATCTCTTCAGCTACCAATGTTTCTGCCATTCCAAGGAAACCTCAAAATGAGTCCTTCACTTCTGGATGTACATTTAAACTAGTCTCTAGGAGTGATCCACAGACCCACAGGCCCTCTACATCTTGAATAACTTGAGTTTATGTATTTAACATGTATATTCCTGGGTCCTACCCACGTCAGGCCCTCTGAATTATTATAGAACCTAATAGAACCTTTGGATGTACGGCCTAGGAATCTGCAGTGAAACATGCTCCTGTGTTGGTTTTTTTGATACCCCAAAGTTTGAGAAGTATTGCATCTTTTCTGGGATGCTTATTTTTTAAACCCTTTTTCTCAATCCTGGGGCAAAAGGCTTTGGCAACCACCAACTCAACGATAATAAGGCAGCAGCAATTAAGAAAGGATGGATTGGAGGTTTCAGCTTGAGGTTCCTGAATTACAAAGAAGAGCTTTGAGGAAGCAGGCTGGTGGGAGGGAGGCTACTGTATAAGGGATTTGAATTCCACCTGCTTGGATGTAACAAGCATTGTTCTGACTTAAACTTTTTGGTTGGTCTGTCTGAAGTGGATGAAGGGAGAAGAGAACTGACAGAGGAGCTCTGATGAGGTGAAAGCCTTTCCAAGGGTCCTGTGACACGATCACCGATTATCTCAGTGAGAAGGTCCCAGGTGCTCTCATTCATTCCTACGTATGTTCTCAAAAGGCAGAAAAGGGGTAGTGGGTACAGCTAGTCCCCACAAGAATATATTGTGCTTCTGGTAATTTTGAAGATAACTACTGTCCTCTCCTGATGCTTGTAAATACTGGATAAGATGTTTTGATTCCGTATGAGACCATACTATACGCATGCATTGTGTGTTAGGCGGCAGGGCAAAAGTTCCAAGCCACTATCCTCTAAGCCAGGAGAGACGCTTCAGAGGCCTGTCTTACTGGCTGCCCCAGGCCAGCACCCCCTGTCACCGGCAGTGCTGACTCACTGAACTTCCTGCTGCTTTCCCCAGCAGAGAGGGCTGACTCAGAGTCTGCACATGGAGTCCACTTCCAAGTTCTTCCAAGTGGGCATATGCCTCCGCCACTCTCTGACTGTCCTTTGCCTGTGCCAAGGTTTCTGGGAAGAACAGGAAGTTCAGGGATGGCGGAAAATGTTTGGCAGATCCCCTGAGTCCAAAGCCAGGGCACCTGCTCCTGCCTGAGGGCAGAAGGACTGGTAAGAAAAGCACTGAGGGCCCCAAAGGGGTGGAGACAAGGTTAAGGGCATGAAGGACCTTCTTGTCAGTTGAATTCTCTACATAAAATCACCTGTAAGAGAAAGTACATGTTCTCACACTTCAGGGTGCATTAGATATTGTTAAAATCAATATTGCTAAAAATTTGGATCCCACAATACCACTCCCAGAGATTCTGACTCAGTAGGTCTGGAATGGGCTCCAGGAATCCGTGTGTTGAACAAACTCCTGGAGACTCTGAGGCTGGTGGTCCCTGGCTTGCACTCTGGGAAGCAATGGGCTTTGAGGCAATTGGTTTTCCTCCAGCTTCTCTTTCTTCTGCGAAGGTTTTTGCCTACATAGATTCAGTGCTGGACAGAAGGAAATAATCGAGAGGGCCAAGAGTGAGGACCAGCACCTCCTTCTGA